AAAAATGTCCGTAGAGAATTCACAGATTGAAGAGCTTCCTGGGATGACAGTAAGGACTGCGATGGACCTGTATTATCATCATCAATTTCATCATTGTTTCCTATCTCATCAGTAATTTCAGAGAGAATATCTTCATCAGTAACTCCTGCAAAAACCATAAGATCATCATCTGCTGTTAAATAGTCTTCTATACTAATTCCAAACTTTTTACCGCTTGTTTCCTCAAGTTGGGATACGGATTTTTTGATGTGCAAAACACATTCTTGATCATCTGAGAGATCATTGTCTATGGAATTTTCATCATTATCAGATTTCTTATCTTTCATAACACAAAGACCGGCCTTTTTCCAGCAATTCCGAATGGTTTTTTCTGTTACTTCCCACCAACTTCCAGCAATATTGTCACACACTTCCTTGACATTTACAGCTTTCTTCTACTTCTTCTACTTTATTTTCAAAGTTTACAAGTATGGAGTCCACCAACCGTTTTCTGTAATATCCTTTGAAGCACTTAATTATGCCCATATCAAGAGGCTGTAAAATTGAAGTGCAATTGGCAGGGAAAAAAAGCGATTTCAAATATTTTGTAGCTTTGGAAATGACGTGTGAGCACCGCAGTTATCTATCAACAAAACGATTTTTTTTTTTTTTCTCTTTCATTTCATTGTCTAACTTCTGTAACCATTCGGAAAAAAATTTAGACGTCATCCAAGCCTTCTTATTTGCTTTATACTCCACGGGAAGACTTTTCACGTTCTTAAAGCACCTTGGCTTCAATGATTTACCAATGACGAGAGGTTGTATTCTATGCATTCCTGTGCTATTTGTGCACAGAAGAACAGTCAGTCTCTGCTTTGATTTCTTCCCTCCATAACACTTTTCACCCTTGAATGCCAATGTTCAATCAGGTAGGAGTTGGAAAAACAGCCCAGCTTCATCTGCATTATAAATGTCTTCTGGAGCATACTTTTCTAAGATTTCTTTCATCTTGTTTTGCCGCCATTCATTTGCATCGTTTATCGGTGCTGACTTTTTCTCTCCGTGAACTTCTTGGAAAGTTATTCTATGACGATCTCGAAAATGCATTAACCAACCATTGCTAGCTTTGAAAGTTTCGTTCCCTAGCATTGCTGCAAATTTCCGTGCTTTTGCACATAATAAAGGTCCATTTATTGGGACATTTGTTGCTCTCATCTCTTGAAACCATTTTTAAAAACAGCAGCATCAATGTTTTTTTCATTTGTCGCAAACTTTCAGTCGTTTTCGCTCTGGGTTAATTTCATTTGAAGTTACAGCATCTTCGATTTGCTTTCTCTTCTTTAGGAACGTTGCAACTGTAGATTGCGATAATCCATGTTTCTAAGCCACATCAATCTGCTTCATTCCCTCATCAATATGATTGATAACGTTCAGTTTATCTTGAAAAGATAGTTGCTTTCGCTCTGCCATCTTAGGGAACAATATCGCGTGAAAGAAAGAAAAGTTTAAACCAAATGTTTCACGTAGAACTCAAAATCGTTAAAGACTATAAAACAACCTTTGAACTCATTTTTCACTAACAACACTTAACTTTCACACGTCACTTAACAACACCCTGCCTCCATCTCCCCCTGTTCCTCTAACAAAGGGCACTTATTCTGTGACAAGGTGACCAGACAGGTCTAGATGTCCTTAAACCTTATCAGAATTCCAAAGCTTACTGGGAAATGAGACTAGGCATACATTTACACTTTACCCCCCTCACCCACTCCAATTCCCAAAAGGGTGGTCTTCATCTGTTTTGAAATCTGAACAATAGCTATTTATTCAGGGATAAGTTGAATATCCACAATGAGTCTTAATAGACGGAAAAAATAACAAAAGAAAATGAAAAAAAAGTATTCGAAAATCAAAATATTATTATAAAGGGAGAAAATAATACTGAAATTTAGATTGAAAAAATCGTTTTACAGAGTTTTTTTGTTCTAGAGAATATAGCAATATTGAGGGGAGATTAACATTAGTTTATATGCAAAATCACCGGGACCACGAAACATTATTGTAGTAGAGGGAGTTATTGTTGTATCGGGTATCATTGTAGCGAGAGTTTACAGTACATCTAAATTTATTTTATTTCCACATATAATTGTCTTAGTTTTTAACATAATTTTTAAAAATATTTCATAGTTTTATGTAAGTAATTTAAGGCATTATTAGTTACTTTTGTCTCTTCCTGTTTAAATTTTTTATTTATAATTAAAAATGCACGTTTATGCAAATATTACTTATTTCATTAGTTGTTCAGTAATTTACTAGTATAAATCTGCAATGTGGGTTACGTTCAAATACTTTCCAGCAAAGTAAAGATAAATAAGCAAATGCTTAGTCTTAAATGCTCTAGACGAGCGCTGTTTTCAAGGCGAAACCGGTCCCCTTTCCATAAAGGGGGATGAAAAAAAATTTTTTACACTCATTTATGTTGTCTATAGGACCATTGCATGTCATTATGCTTACTTTTTCATAACTTTTAAAAAATTATAACATTGTGCCCCTGAAAGGGTTCTCATGATCATTACCAGTTCAACACGAGGGTAATCCAGTTCTTATAAATCACAACGCAATGCTAAAAGTTAGGTTAGATTTTAGGTAAATTTAATTTGTTTGAGGTGTCTTCTTAAAAGGCACCTTAACACATGAAAACACAAATACAATTATAATAGGAGTTATTTTCTCCATTGAAGATTGAGATTAGAATCTGCCCAATCTGGATGAAAAAATTAAGGCTTTTTTTTTTGCAGACATTTCTGCAGCGAAACTGAAAGAAGAAATATATGATATATGACATTTTACTAATTGAGGTATTTTATATTTCATTTCAGCAGCATACATAAGCAAAAAATATGTGCATTAAATTTCGTGATGATGTCATCATACTGCTAGAATTAATTTCCAGGATTATGCCAGAGAAAATTTCCTGAAATTTGGACAATATTATTTACCTAATGATAAATAAATTTAGTGGGAACGAAGCAACATTAAATGATACATGAATAACATTAAAAATAAAGATAATTACTTACAAACCTGAATTAGAATAATCAACAATATTTTTAGCGAATATAGTTATATTAACATGATTAGCCTAGATGGACTGATTACTATTTTTTTATTTTACAGCAAAATGACAAATAAGGTATTTATTAAAAAGAAAAGGGTAAAAAAAGATTTTGCGGTAAAATCCTAGTATACAGTACGGCCTTCGCACGATTTTGAAAATTGTCACCAAGAACAAAATGACCCGTTTACTGCTCATCATCATGTCGCCAAATCCCGCTGTACCATACATGGAGTTTATTCTAACCAAAGAACGTCTATGTAAAGAAGAAAAGGTTCCATACACGTAAATGCTATTAAGCCGCTAGGAAGCGGAGGGAAAATTTGCCAAGGGATTTGGCGACGGAAACTGGCGGCCAGAATTTCCCTCTCCGCGATGTGTACAGGAAATTGAGAAATACGTGTTAAAAAGAAACGTTCTTTGACAAAAAAGAAAACTACGAAAATCCGTTTTTAAATTATTGCGAAAAATCCAAGAAGAAATGCTTATCAAGGAACGTTTTTTCTTGGATTTTTTGCAATAATTTTAAAAACGGATTTTCGTAGTTTTTTTCTCCCTCCTCAAAATATAACTAATCCATGAATTCATTTACTTGCACCAAAAAATATTTTCTTTTCCTTTAGAGTTTAAAGAAATTGTAAACGATATTCATTTTATGAACTCTTGATAGATAACGTGACTTTCAAACTTTGATACTGGTTTCGAGCTTTGGCGACAGATATATCGCGCATGCACAGCTGTTTCCCTACAGAGCCACGTCTGTTGCAGAGAGGTTTTTCTTCTTTATAATACATATTTTTTGATTCTAACCTTCACGGTACCATATACTAGGATTAAACCCATTTTGTTTTATACAAGAACAGGTACTTTCTTTAGTTCATGCACTACACATGCGATTCTCGAGGTTACTGGAAACCAAAAGTTGCAGGAAACTTGCTTTGCCTTTCTAAAAGACAAACAAATTAGAGCTGCGAAAATTGGCTTATGCCAGCTGCCCGAATGACACTCACGTGATACACAATTCAGCAAAAAAGTGATCTCTTCCGAAGTCAGCGCAAAACTCGCCTTTTTTGGCGGGATCGTTGTATGAAATTCACTGACTTTTCCAGATTTTGACTAAAACACTTAAATTCTCTGAATTTTCTGGTCAATTTCTGAATTTCCTGACTTTTTCCTGTTTTCCAGGTAGCGTGGCAACCCTGTCAGTGAATCACCAAAAATATTGCTACAAAATGCTAATTCACACTCAAAATAGCAGTCGTAAAAACAGATAGAAGTTTCAGATTATTAAAATTAAGGACCTTCTGCCGATTTTGGCCGAAATTAAGGACTTTTAAGTACCAAAAATCGATTCCAAAAAACTTAAGGACTCTTAAGGACCGGACGAAACCTGAATTCAGTATGGTTTTTTTCATTATTTTTTCCCCTTATATTTTCTATCATGTTAAAAAATATTTAGCTTACATGATGACTATAGTTATGAAAATTATTGGAGAGATATAATAATTTGAGTTTCCTCAAAATCGCGTGTGCCAAACATACCCCACCCAACCTTTCCTAAACAGTAATTCTGCAGATTAGTATTTCTGTTATAGGGTGTAAACACAAATTTCAATTTTGGAATACTCTTTTTCACCTCGAAATGTCATGAACAGATCTATGTTACATTTACCAAGTTCCTCTACTAACATCCCCAGTCAGAGATAAAATTCTGTCCTTTTTACGATTCATAATCCACAGCTCAGCATAAATTATTCTTCATTACATCCATTGACACATTTAAATCAGCTATATTTTTAAAATCTCAGCATTCTCTTTTAACAAACCTGTATTCTGCTACTATTGCCGATAAGTGAAAGTTAATAGAACCTTATTGGGTGAAGACACTGAAATAATGAGAAAAGGATAAGCAAATGTATTTTAATATTTTAATAAAAATTTTCTGAGAGGCAATATTTTCATGTACACATAGATCATTCTTCATAAATATTCAGCTGAAAGCACTTCCTACAAAAAAGTCTAAAAATTACATTCATTACAAATATGCACAATGGAAGTAAAATTACACAAAAATCTTTGAGAACAACTTTTTCAATGACCATGCATTTCAAAATACAAATTTAGACAAAAGTATTAATCTGAAAATAGTGTTGAGAAAATACATTTTGCGTGACACGTCATGGAGCGTTTTAAAATCAACAATGTTTAAACAAACACTACAAACCTGAGTCGGAATATTCAGAATAACTAACTAAAATAAAAAGCAATTATATACTGCTGAGGAATGGCACATTATACAGCATCTCAAATATTCAAATATGTATCACAATATCAAAATATCAGTAATTATTTACACATAACAAGAAACTATAAAGATAACAGCATTCTGTTTTGCATAATGAAGGACCAATTTGTAACAATCCATTATTTTTAACACCTTCAGAAGCTCCTTTAATGCAAATTTAAGGCAGAACTAATCTCTTCATTCAGACTTTCCAGCAGCAAGCTTACCAGCAGCTACAAAAAGAAAAGGTAACTTAAGTATTCAAATAAAACTACGAATGCTATTAAACTTCTAATAAAACTTTGTAATGTGTGCCTATGAATATACTTTGATATAAATTAGTAAATAAAAATTAGCATGACCGCACAAATACTGTAGAAGATAAAACTGTAATTAATTGATATTATAAAATAATATAATAAGCGTCAAGATTTCAAGTTATCCTGGTTCAAGAAACATTAATTCAAATCACACATAACATCACAAAGGTAAATGAACATTACGAATCAGGTTTTTTAAACTTCCAAGTTTATTCAAGTCTAACATGCATTCAACTGTCACTGGCAGATCCAAGAACAAGAAGTATACATCATAAAAGATTAACGCCCTCTTTGGCGATTAAAATATATTTCCACATAAAATTTCTTACAGATATCACAGAAAAAGTACGCAACATATACCAGATTACATTTAAAAATTTCAAGGGAATTCTGAACAGGGAAAGCCTTAATTCATCAGAGCACTTTTAAACAGGGTGAAAATACAATTAACAATGTACATACTGTTGTGTGGAGAAACCTAATAATGTCCCAGTTATTTACGTAAAACAACATTAAATAAAAGTATTTATTGATTAAGCATATATATTTTATATTAATTTAATGAGTTTTATATTTAAAAAGCTTCATAAAAATCAATGCATATGTTATTTTCACACATATACACTGAGATAATGATGCATGCCTCTTAAAATCTCAAACTAGAGATTAAAATTTTAAAACCGCAAAGAATAGAGGTCTGAAATAATAATCCCCCTCCCCAAGGTTTTGAAAGAAGTTTTGCAACAAGTAAAATGGAAGCCTTCCTTAAAAATATTTTGTCCTTTATTTGCAATAAATTACTAATGCTATTATTCCTGTTATTTTAAACACAGTGCTTAAAAGCATCTTAACTATTTAACAGCACACGCGCTGGGGTAAAATCCACCCCACCTATAGTCTTTTCTTAGAAAATGAGGGAAGATGGTACGTGACCTTTCTAGTACTTCATGTACCTTTCAAGATCAAGGTTAGAAAGGGGTCAATCCAGAGGAACTTTTCTCGTGTTCTTGGGATTTTGTGTTTTCGGGGAATGACAGTACAGTGGGATTGTAGCTACCCCGCACGTGTACTAACGTTTCACTTCTAGGGAGACATTCATTGAGATGAGTGCGTGCGAGTGAGAACAGCAACGACTGCAGGTTCTTCTCGCTAGTGTTGAAACTAATAACGAAATTGAAGATTCGGATTCTGAGTGCGATAATATTTCTGAAAGTGGCTCACGAAGCCGATTCTGACTGGTAATATGATTATTCACACGATTTAGGGAGCATATCTTCTGTGACATCAGATGGTTTTATGTTTGAAAAGATGGAACGATTTGAAGTAAAAAAACCCTCGAAAAACGTTCGGATACAGCCCGCAAAACATAGTGACACATTTACCTGGTGTCATGAAAAGCTTTAGAAATTTGAAAAATGCAACTGAGTGTTTATTGCAAATTTTTGATGAATAAATAATGGAAGTTTTGGTGAAATCAAGAAATATTTACATTTTATCAATAAGAAACAAACTCTCTAGAGAACGTGATGCACAAGAGACAAACGTAGCTGAATTGAAATGTTGTTTTTCCTATCATATTGCACTGGAGTGTTGAGAGCAGCACTTCTCAAAGAGAAGATTTGTGGTCAGCTGACAGAAGCGGAATAACTGTTTTTCAAATAACAATGTCTATCAAAAGATTCCACTTCCTGTTGAGGTATATTAGGTTTGATGACATCAATTTATGAGCAGAGCGAAAGATGACGGCTAGACTTGCACTTATTAGAAATGTTTTTGAAATATTTATCAAAAACATACGAAAAAAATATTCTTTATCTGAATATTGTACTATAGACGAAAAATTAGAACCCTTTCGAGAAAGGTGTCAATTCAGACAATATATAAAAGTAAGCTCTCAAGATATGGAATAAACACTTTTGCTTTGTGCGATTCTCATACATTTTACGCATACAACCTAGAAATTTATGCAGGTCAGCAGCCTGTCGGACTATATAGACAGTCAAATGTGGCATTGGATGTTGTACAAAGACTTATTGCACCCATAAGTGGCACTGAAAGAAATATAACCTATGGACAATTGGTACATGAGCATTCCTTTGGCCAATGAACTATTGAAAAAGCACAAATTGACATGTTTTGGGACACTGTGAAAAGATAAAAGTGAAATTCCAGAAGAATTTCTGCGAAATAAATCAGTTCTCGTTCTATCATCCATTCATGTGGATAATCAAATAGATCCATTGTCTAAAGAGCAGCTCAAGCTCGAAATGATAACATTTTGCAACTATACAAAAGGTGATGTTTATACTGTTGATGAGTTATGTGGAACTTAATCTGTTTCAAGAAAATGCCGCCGCTGGCCTCTAACAGTATTTCTCGGACTAATGAACATTGCAGGTATAAATGGTTTATTATTCATCGATCAAATAACCATCAAGTGAATATGAACCGAAGAGCTTTTCTCACAGATTTAGCATTAGAGCTTGTAAAAGAACATTTCCTAAAAAGGGTTGCAATTATATCTCTCTCGAAAAACTCAAAACTGGAGTAAAAAGGTTGGCAGGAATAGAAGATGCAGCAGACCTTCACTCTAAGAAATTGTTTGTAAAAATATGTTGTCACACTATGTGAGGATTGTTCAAAACGAGATTATTTGAATAATAAACTCAGGTAAGGGGGGGGCAGAAAACCTATATGTTATTTATATTTTGTAATATTCGTATTTAGAATCTATTCTTTGATATGAATAATCGTATGACATTATATTGAGTTTTAAGGAAAAAAGTAAGAATGCAGCCTTTTCATATTCCTCTAGTGCTTTATCAAAGCACTCTTTATAATAAACACTTATGTTTAAAAAATATGTACATGTGCAAACTGATTTTTCTAATATAAGAAATCATATATGTATAAGTCAGTAATTTTGCATATATTTCGATTTTTATGGCTTACTTTGGGTAACCAGTATGGAAATGTTTGTATAACTTAAAAATAAGATTATCTTGAATTAAAACTGGAAAAAAGGTTTAACAGAATTCACAAAGCAATTAGTCATTTATACATTTATTTTAAACAAAGAAAATGCATTTATTTATACGTTGGGAGGGTGAACTCCGAAAAACAAACAGTGGGGTAAAATTTGTCCCGCGCGTGTACTAACGTAGCGCAGTGATGCGCGTGTGCTGAAGAGTTAAAATCTCAAACTACAGATTAAAATTTTAAAACTGCAAAGAATAGAGGTCTGAAATAATAACCCCCCTCCCCAAGTTTTTGAAAGAAGTTTTACAACAAGTAAAATGGAAGCCTTCCTTAAAAATATTTTGTCCTTTATTTGCAATAAATTACTAATGCTACTATTCCTGTTATTTTAAACACAGTGCTTAAAAGCATCTTAACTATTTAACACTAAAAACAGACATACATAAACTAATTTTGGCACACTTTACTCGAGAACAGAAATGCTTTTAAACTGATGGTATGAGGGCAATTAATTTAAATTGTACTCATTGACACATCATTTTACAAACATATATCAGATAACATACACATTATTTTTTTCCTTTAATTTCTACGAAATATTCATTATAAAAGAACTGCCCATCTTATGGATCTTTCTGCTATAAATAAGCTTCATCTATTTTTTAAAAATTTTCATCATAATTTTTATCTCACGAGATGATTTAATAGGCAGTTGAAATATTAAACGAATTTTTCAATTAATTAGGGAAAAACTACGACAAAACAATAGGAAAGCTAATGGTTGAATAACTTTTCATGCATTTTCTTGCACACAACTTTGTACTAGTAAGTGATGTATTATACAGGGTCTGGCAGAAATAACTTCTTAATCTGAAATGTGAATAACAAACCAATGATCGGAGATGTCAAAAATTTTTACAGTTTGATATAATAATCTTTACCATTGTTACATCATGTGGTGTTTAAATTAGATTTTTGAAAATTACATAGTCCAAATGACAACCTCACGTTGTATACACTTTCGAAGTCACTCTCTGAAATTCTGCATTACCTTTCTTGTCAAAGGTCTGGTGGTATTGCCGTGATTTTGCCACAGACAGCAGCATTCAATTCTTTAATTGTCCTCGGCTTACGTTTGTAGACTTGAGCCTTAAAGTGCCCCAAAGATAGAAATCGTCACGAGGTACGAGATCGGGGGAACGAGGAATATCACCTCGTAAAGAGATCAGGCACTCAGGAAACATTTCACATAGGAGATTCATCTATGACCCTGCTGTGTGTGCAGTAGCACTATCCTGTTGGAACCAGAAATCAAGCTCCAAGAGTTAGTTGAGTCTTGGCTGCAGAAAGGTTTGCAGCGTTTCTATGTAGTGTGCGGACATGACTGTTACTGTTCTGTTCTTGTAAAAGTATGGGTCTATTATTCCAAAATCAGCAAAAGTGCACAAGACAGTTACACGTTGGCTGTGGAGAGATTGCTCATGAACTGGTCGGGGATTATTTTTGGCCCAGTAGTGAAAATTTTGTTTGTTTACACAACACGGCAATTGAAAGTGAGCTTAATAACTTGATAGCACTCTGCCGTTAAGAGGAATACCTTGCAGGATAAAAGTATGTAGCGTCTATACGCAGAGATAAGAGGTCGTATAAATTTTGCTCCCACATTTTGCTTCACAGTGAACGGAATATTCAGGCTTACAAGAGATTGTATCTGCAGTTACATAAAAGCACTAGGACTTCAGTTGTGCAAGTTTCATCATTATTCACTGATTATTTAAATAATTTTCTAAGTGTTACTCTTCCGGCTTGTGTGTCTGACCGTCGTTACTTTAACACAGTAACGCGGTTACCCAACCCTCCTTCCTTCTGCTGATAAGAAAAGAAAAAGGAACTTTAACCTTCTCTCCTCCTCTCAGTCTCGGACACAGGCAGCG